TTTCTCCTTGCAATTTAGTGATAAAAAGCACAGTGAATGTACCTTTTCACTTTTTGAAGTACACATAACACTCGGATTTAAATCCGAGGTTTTCGCATTTATTTCAAAAATAAATTAATTTTAGATTTGACTTATTTCAACTATTTTCGAATATCTTGAATAAATTCTAAGTTTAATTATCCTTATTTGTTTTGTTTAATATATTATAAAATAAAAAATAAAATATATTTTCTTAGAATTTTTTAATATATCGATTTAAAATTAAAAAAAAATAGAAAAAAGTTCATTTTTGTGAATTAGATTCTTAAATTGATAATAACAATTTGCAAATCATCACAATCAAATAAAATATTATTTTTTCAATTTTCGAAACAAAACAAAAAAGATCTGATTTAAAAAAATCGAATAATATATTAAATATTTTCAATATAATTAATAAATAGATTCTCATTTGTGTTTATCATTATTTGTTTTTAATCAAATTGTTATTATTTGAAAAAATTTATTATTATTCAGATATTTTTATTCTTATATTTATCGTTAGAATTATCATAAATTATAAATTTTATTTTCTAATCATCTATACTGATTATTATTAAAAAATAATATTTATTTAAATTAGAAATCTATGAGATCAACTAAATAAAACTTTAACGGAGGAGTGAAGTTATGAAAATAATATATACCGATGCTCGAACGAAATATGATAATTAAATATTCAATCGTTTTAAATAAAATAATATCAATCGCAATCAGAATAAAATTCAAAAGAGAGAAAACACCCTAGAATAGTTTTATCTTGACTATCATTGAGACTAAAAAAAAAAAGTAACATAATCGAGACTGGTACAAAAAGAAATTTGATTCCGCTCATATTTATTTATGATTTATTTTGTTAAAAATGATTATTCTGATGTAAATGTAACATATGATCGTTTGTTTAGAAGATAAAAATGAAAGTTTCTCAAAAAATTTGCTAATCTGTAAATTTGTTTTTCTATTAGATAAAATAAAAATGATTAAGGAAAAAATAATTGAAAATGAGAATAAGAAATATTAAACTAAGTTAAATATAAAATGTAATTACAATAATTTGTGGAACACCATCAATAGCACCAATTGTTTGTCTAACTTGTCTATTAGATTGAAGTTTTTGTTTTCGAATTTGAATAGCTGTATTTAAACGATCTTGTTTACTTGTTACATTTAATCGTTTTAAACTACGTGCATGTTTTTTTTCTGCAACTCGACCTTTTAATAAATTATTTTATTATTCACAAATAGTTAATTAAAGTAAGAAAGAATATTAAAAAAAACCTTTAGTGCTTCGTTTAATTTCATGTTGAGATCGATGACGACCACTCTTAAATCGTTTATTTTGTTGTTTAAGTGCACCTGGACGATGAACATCAGTATTATCACCAGTAGGTCCCATTAATTTATTTTCTTTTATAAAAAAAAAAAAAAAACATAAAATAAAATAGTCAAATAAAATAATTCTCAAATAATATTCAAAGAAAGATAAATTTAGTTATATTAGTTCAAATTTGTTTCTCGAAAAGAAAATCATCTTTCGATATTGATTGGTTAACAAGTAAATGTCGAAATTTCAATCATATTAATATAAAAATCAATTTATTTATTTAATTATTAAAAAAAATCAACTTTTAAATGATTTATACTTAGTTAAATGAAAAAATATTTCGATAAAATAAAAAATATAGAGGTCGATATATGACTAATGAATCATTTCGTTTGTTTCATTCATTTATCATTCATGTTGATTAAAACGAAAATTTCTTTCACTTTCACCGCACTTCATTTTTAATCGAATTTAGTAAAAAAGAAACAAAACAGATAGAATAAATGTCTGATTTTACCTTCGAACAACTATCTAGCGGATTTTGTTTTTTTAATAATTGTTGATGGTTTTTTTTCGTATTTTTCATATAGTAATAAAAATGTCGTATTTATTCAAAAATAAACTTTTAATAAGTAATGAGCTGTTGCCAGGCAAAGTATGAAAGACTGGAAGAACAATTGCAACAGTCAAATATAGATTATATTTTATTGAGTTTATTAAACGAAATATTCTTTTTAATTAAAGAATGGTGTTGTTTCTTTTGCTAATAGTCGATATACACAAGAAAATATTATATTTGATCATCCAGTAAACATTTTATGAGAGAGAGACATGCTCATTATGGTTGTTAAGAATTGAATGAAATTAATCATAGATGAAAAGTGGTATCTAGATATCTGAATTTTCACTAAACGGAAAATTTCATTTAAAATTATAGTTCTTCGTTTGTGAATTATTTGTAAATGTTTAACTTGAAAAGGTGTTATTGAAGTTTTCTAACAGTTGTAATAACTTGAACTTGTCAATCTTGATTTAATTTGAGTAATTCAAGTAAACGTGTTTGAAAATCACAGTCAGCTGATGTACCAGCACCAATTACATATATATTATCTGATAAACGATGAATTTTTACAATATTATCATTAAGTTTTAAGCAGAGCTACTATTTAACTTTGTTAAACAAAAATCTTTAAAAAACTAATCTGGGTAGAAGATTAAAAAGGTAAGAGAGGAGAATATATAGCGACGGCACCAGAATCTCTGTTCACAAGGGAAGATTGAGCACCCTCAGCACTCTAAAAAATCAAGACACATCACATGTATTAACAAGACATTTCATTCGTCTGATTAAGACACTTCAAGAAGTTTCTGATTGGTGGCTAAACGTCTTGTTAAGACACCTCAAGTGTCA